CTGGCCACCCGCTGTGCTCGGCGGCAGTGTCGGCCCAGTCGTCGGTCAGCGCGCTCGCCTGGCCGCTCTTTGGCTGCTGTGACAGTGCCGCCGCATGCGTTCGCAGACACGCTTTCTGTTTCCATGTTCTCCGGGCCAGGCTCCTTAGCCCGTCCTGTGTGGTGCAGTAAGCCCTCCGTTCGGTCCAGCCATTCCATGTGGCGGCGAACGGAGCGCTGGGAGACTTGTTTGAACTCTGCGTGGTGACTGCGTTCTCCGGGTGTGTTCCCATGGTCTGTGCTCTTCTCGCAGACCTGCCCGTCGTGTGGAATCACCTTTGCTCCCAAAGCTGAAGCCAGTGCAGAAGGAGGCGCTGTCCAGAACGGCTGTCCAGACGAGCGTGCGAACAGCACCAAGGTAACAAGCTCATGGCTGTTGTTCCTGTCAGTTCCTCTCCTGGCGCATCCACCGAAGGTGACATTCCTGTCTTGTCAACTTCTTAGTTCTGAGAATAACTCTTCCTAGGTAACAAGATTCCGCACCTAGGCCGGGTTTCGAATGGGTGGAGTGAGAACTCACCTGGGGGAGTAGACAAATGGGGTGGGGTCTCCCTGCTGGGCAGTAAAAGTCCTGAGACCGGAGGGTGAGGGTGGTGGGGCAGGCTTTGAGGGACTGGGGGGTTGGTTTACCAGTCACTCTTCTCGCTCTCCTCCCCCTTTCTGTGAGATGTATCTTCCCTCCTCATGTACACGTGTGAGTACAGATGTGCAGAGAGGGGAGGGGGCTTCCCAAGGGGAGAAGTGCCCTGCAGAAGGGCTGGGAGCAGGGGCAGGGAGCGAGGAGGCTGCCGGCGAAGGCACACTTTGAGCGTGGGCCAGGCCTGGAGCGGGAGGGAGAGAAAGCGCAGACCAGAGAGCCCGTGGAGAAGTCCAGCCAGGCCCAGTGCCGTCGCACGCTCTGCACGCTGCTGTTGGGCAGGGTGGAGGTGCACGGAGGCCCGGGTCGGCACTCACACATGCACGCACACATCCACACGTGCACGCACACGCACACGCACACGCACGTACCCACCAGAAAAGGACAAAAGGAGAAGGTGGCTACCTCGGCTGACTCCCCAGGGAGGCCTGCATCCTGTCATCCCTGTCATCTCCCAAGAGACCGTGTAGGGGTCAGCGTGTAACCGGTGACTCTCACAGCCACGGTGGCACCCAGGGTAGAAGCCCCCATCTTCCTCAGCCCCGTCTGCAGGCCATCACCCAAACAGCTGGGCTTCCTTTCCCTAGGCCCATCCTGTCACCTCCCCAGGCACCCCAGGCCTTCCTCGCCACACCGTAGAACCCAAGCACTGGGCAGCCAAACTCCTAGAACCCCTATGCTTCAGTTTCTTCCTTCCTCCTTACTGGCTGTTCCCACAGTTGCATTTTCCTGTTGCCTGAACACCTGGAAATGGCTTTTGACAAAATAGGGTAGCTGGGAGAAGCAGGTGGGTAAGAGGGCGAGTGTTGGGGTTACACGGATCTGCAGGTGCAGCACGCTGGCGGGTCTGCACACCAGCACGTGGTGCGGGGCCTCAGCGTGGCAGAGGGGTGGGACAGCATGTGCTCCAAATCCACTTCACTTTGTGTTTGCCCCTCTTATCTCGAGGCAGGCTTCTGGAGGATCTAATGCCAAAACTCAGAATGGCCTTCTGAGCCCTCCCCAAGAGGAGAAGCTCACTAGCAGTCAGACCTCGCTGTGTGAGATCTTACAGGAAAAGGGGAGGTGGGCAGGGGTCAGCTTGGACCAGTCGGCTCTCCTTCCGCTGAGATTCAAGAACATCCGCGAGAAGACCGACGCCCACTTTGTGGATGTCATCAAAGAAGACAGGTAAGGCTGGGCGTCTGTCGCCCCAGAGCAAAGGCTTGCTGGGCGGCCCGCCCCCGTGTGCTTACCCTCTGTTTCCAACATATTGCTTTATTTTAAAGTAGAAAAGTTGCGCAAATAATACAAAGGATTTCCTTGATGCATTTTGACCGATTTCCAGGCGTTCTTCTTGCTGC